TCTCTCTCTCTCTCTCTCTCTCTCTCTCTCTCTCATATGATCTTTTAAAATGTAACTAATTTTAAAATATATATTTAGGTAAACTATTTTGCAACGATAAATACCAAGACATTGCCTTTAATGATAACTACTTGTCGTGGATGAGCCTCAAAAACGGTGTCCTTCCGGGTGTCAAGTAAATGATATAACAATACTTTTTGAACATTTAATACAATTACTATACTTTAGGAGATTTGCAAACTCGGATGAATTGTCACAAATAGTGGACTCAACTGTAGCCGACACTATCAAAAATATAGTAAACACCGAGGGCATTAACAAGCCATTTTCACCTCGGCCATATTTGCTAGATATTGTGGTTAATGTTTTATCATCGGCTGTTTTCAGTGAAAAGTAAGTTTGCTTTATTTAATGAAAAACTATATTTTTAAATTAAAAATATGTTATAATATTTAATTACATTTATTTATAAATATTAAACTAAAATAATTAAATTATTTGATTTTCATAAAGGTTTGATATAAACCAATTGGAATTTCAATGCTTTAAATACTGTTCAATTGATTGGCTATCAGACGTGGGAAACAATTATTACATTTATGAATTCATACCGATATTACGTCAATTTTGGACCAACCCTTTATCGCGTTATTCGCAATCATTTGATGAATGCATGGATTATACGAGAAATGTGTTGACAAATCACAACAAAACATTTAAAGCCAATAATTTGAGGGATTTTTGCGATGTTTTGATCGGCGCTAAGAAGTCGGCCGTCGATGAGGACAGCTATACAGCCGAGTGTTTTGGCGACGACTCACTCGTCGCTACACTTAATGATTTGTTTATCGGTAATTAATTTTAAACATTATTTATTAATCTTGAATGTGCAAATTATTACATTAATCCAGGTACTTTAATTAATTTAAATAAGTTTAACCATCTTTTTTTTAATCTAAAATGACTAATAAAATTACTTGTTCGAATTATAAAATAAATATTTACTAATAATTAAATTATATTTAAAATAACATTTAGTTTAACTACAAAAGTAATTAACTTGCAAAACATTCTATTTAGTTTATATAAAAACTTGCATTTTAAAAATATTATGTTTAATAAAATTTACTTAAAAATTAATAATTATTATTTTTATAGTGGGAGTAACGACAACATTAACAACATTACAATGGATGCTATTATACATGGCGTATAACCCTGATGTGAGTGAAAAGTTGCATGATGAAATCTGGTGCAGAATCGGCGACCGAAAGCCCAATGCCGAAGACAGGGATCAATTAGATTACGTGATGGCGTTCATAGCCGAGTGCCTTAGACTTAGAAATCCCACACCTGTTGGACTATTTCACCGAGCTATGTCCGACATTAATCTAGGTCAATTAGCACACTATTATCTACTATAATTTACTTACTTACTCATGAATATACTTAATCATGATAAATATAGGTAATAAATACCAGATACCCGCTGAGACCAGTGTTATCGTTCACCAGTACTCCATACTTACTGATGATAAGAATTGGGTCAATGCTTCACAGTTTAACCCTGATCGATTTCTCGATGATTATGGCAGGTACGCACCGGTCAAGTCTATATCGTATATGCCGTTTGGCACCGGCCGACGTCTGTGTCCAGGTGAACAACTCGCAGCCAATCAACTGTTTATGATCATGGTCAGATTCTTGCAGTTAACCCGTGGTTATAATATAAAACCGGCGCATAATATTAATAATCATGATGATCTCGAACCGGCCAAACATGCTAATTTGTTTATTTTATCACCCAAAGATATTCAAATAAAATTTGAATCTAAGCTATGATTGGGGCGAAGCTATTTATAACTTGACGTGGTTACTGTATTACCTTGATAATTTATAATCTATTATATGAGTAAGACATGAATAGAGTATAAATTACATAGCAATAAAATTGATCTGACGCTGATCTGACCCATACATAATCTAAGCCATAATTATAATGTGTAGCTAGATGAGTTATAATCACATTAATCTTATAGTTACAAGTACATCATATTAATCTATTTGATAATAATGAAAATTTATTTAATTTGTGTTATTTTTAAACGTTAATAAAATCAATTTTTTTTATTTACAATGAATAATTAACAGCACTTATATTAATAGAAATACAAACTAAGATTATGTTACGTATAATGCTATAGATATTTATCATTTATTTTGTTATTTTATTGATGTAAACGTTTAAAATCTATAATGATAATAAATGCTATTATATTACTAATAATTTATTCATTAGAATTATAAATATTTATTTTATTAATAAAATTAAGGGAAATAATAAATTATTTAATTACAGATCATTTTGTTAAGTAAATATTTTTAAAATGTAAAAGATAAAACAAAATTAAAAATGATTCTTTAAATATAAAAATTTATATAAATTAATTATAAATAAAATAAATATAATTACAAATAAATTACAAATAAATAATTACAATCTTAAATGTTTATCACAAATGATTTTTGCGACTCTCTGTGATCTTTGAATTGAATTATGGATTTATTATTGGACTTAAAAACAAATTTATAAATTATTACAACAGTAATCACAATAACACAGACGACAAGTCCACAAACTATCTTGATTATAGTCAGATTATCACATCGATCATGTTTACTATCAACATTTTCATAGTTATCACTAATGGACACAATTGTTTCAGTGCTTAATATATTTATTTTAATACATTTGCCATTATTTTTCGGGTCTTCAGAATATTCCGAATTACAAACACATTGAAAGTCAACGCATCTCTGGTTAGTGTAAACGCAATGTAAATCATGTGAACAATTATTATTTGCCAATAATTTTGTGGATTTCATAACAAGACAATTGATGGACACAATAAGTGAAAACATTATTATTAATGTATTTATTAATTTTGTAAACATTTTTATTTAATAAATATAATTATATTGTATAATATAACAGTATTATTTAATTATCATTATTTTCAATAACACCAAGTTTAGTAATAATAGATAAATAAACTACGATTATTGATATATATCTATTATTATAAAGTAAAGGATTGCATTTCAAAAGTAAAGAGCGTTACACACAAAACCGTTACACAACCAGGGGTTGGGAGGGGTTTGCCATAGGATTTGCATATAGAAGGGGACAGAGTTTG